AGATAAAATATGTCTAATTCTAATATAAAGTATATCTCTCTTTTAAAAGAAAAAGGTATTAAAAAGATTATTGAAGGAGAGTAGATAGGAGCAAAAGGCAGGATGTATGAAAACAGTAGTTTGATTATTATTTTTCCCGCTATGGGATGCGAAATGGTATCAGTTCCTGGGACGTTATCAGCACTCATCCTGTTTTAAGTACCATGTGCGTTGAATTTACACGCTTTTCGTCATTAGCTAATCGCACTTTGTTTATTTAAATTACTCACGTTTCCATAAGAAGTTCACGGAAGTGTGTTAAACATTTAAACAGGAACGTAAACCGTTCTTTGTTAAGAGAGTGTATTAAATAATTACGTGTTTTATCAGCTGTTGCAAGTACATGTACAAGAAGGTAATCCTATAAGTTTATTACTGATAAAACCGATAACGTTATCAAGCGCGACTCATCACCGGTAATTTCGATGAATCAAAAATCAAGAAACATTTCAAGCATCTACTGTTCACAATGTCAACGTAACATTGATCAGTGCGATTTTTTATTTCAATCATTATAATTGGAGGTATAAATTGTAAGAATATATAGGTTTGCATAGAAATTCTGTAGGTAGAAGTCTGGCTACACAAGCGAATTAAAAGGAAGAGATGTCTTCTATCAATCACATCTTCCTTTTTAATATCTAAATTCCTAATGATCAATTCATAATTATACTTTGCTTACGTGTAATATACAATTATTATTATTATGTTATTTGAATTATGAAACTTAGATAAAGCATCAAGAATGAAAAAGGAACGACATGTGTAGAAGTATATATGCGACGGAGATTAAAAAATGTAATCAATGACTCACTGCAAATTGAAGAAGTTTCGTTGAGCGACCATTGTCAAGACGTTTATAACAGGTGTACGCGTCTGAAAATTGTGAAAGCGGTCTCCTTTTCGTTACACGGTCGTTAGACACTAGAACTGATTGAAATTCTCTTAGATCACAACTGGCCGTACGTAACGGGAAAGCTGCGTGGACGCGGCGGTTCGCGCGGCGACTACTCGACGACTACGGGACTCATCGCCGAGACGTTTTAAACGCTCGCTCACCGAAACGTCAATTACGTTACCTCGCACCGCCTAGTTGGAGAGATAAAGCGTCCTCCGATTTGATTTTCTAATGATTCGGCAGCCGAATTGATCGATTTATAGAGAAATTCTGTCTGTAAAAAATGCAGTCAATATGCAAAAATGTATGGAATATTAGAAATTAAATTTAGTTTTAATGGATAAAAGAAATTCCTATCGAGAATCGTTTTAAGTTTTAAATAAATGAAAACAGACCGAACGCTCAAATGGGATTGAGAGAAAGAAAATGAAAGAAAGAGTTTTTTCTCTTCTATCGTGTGTGGGAGAGAGAGAGACACAGGAACTCCTTCGACGCATGTTTTCTCTACCTTTTATGGAATCAACTAACATACATACATATATTGGACGCCTATTCTCTTATGTCGATGTTTTAAACTAGCATTCCCAACACTTCTCTTTTAGTGTAAATGACAGATCCCATTAAACAAGTAAACAATATGTGTAATTCTTCCGGCAGGTGTAAAAATTGTTAAACTGCTCGCTGAATTCACTTTGATGTAACTTACATAAAACTACGAGAGATAAGAAGAAAAAAAAGTTCGTAAAAATACATTTCACCCTATTTCCCTTAAGGATGGAATTTCGAAAAATCCTCCCTTGGAGAGCATCTATCAAGTGGTAGAGAACTACTCTCGAAATTTCAAATAGATCCACACGATAGCTTTTGCTCGACGTTGATGAGTGTGTCTGGAAGCTCTTTTACATTATATAGAAATCAAAAGTGAAATTGGTTTTTAAAGGGTAAAAAAAATTCCTATTTAGAATTATTTTAAGTTCGTATAAAAATGTGCAGTCTATTTTTAAGTCAGAAGAAAAAGCATGGCATATTTTCAAGATTCACAGTTTTGATATCCATTTAATTTTAAGTAATGGTAACAAGATAATTGCAGTGTACATGTATATAAATTAAAATTCTACATTAAACACACCCCATATTTGTAACAGCACGTAGAACAGTTTCGTATACATAAATAGTATTCGTCTGATGACGCAGATGAGTTAATTAATGATCGTATGGTGAAACGTTGTCCGATTGTTTGACAAGTTTGGTAGATACAATACTGCGATTTGCATCTATTCAGAAATGTATGTATTGATATGTATGTTGAAGATTGATGCAATTTTCATTGCTAACTATATATAATTTTTATCTTTTAGAAAGCGAATATAATAAATTGAAACAATTCGGATGAAACAATTTTTCAAACCAGAGAGAAAATCCTCTTTGTTCAAATTATTGATGAATTTACTCACTAAAGAACATAATAATAATAAAGAATCTACGGAGTTCTACGGAATATTGAGCTTTAAAGCTATAATAAATAAATTTATTTACGGATTTTCAAAAATCTAAGTTGGCAACGGCAACACTGACATATAATACATACATATATGTATATACAGCAGAATACACAAATATACACTGAAGACTGAACTGAAGCGTGTATGAGCTACACGCTGCACATGTGAAAAGAAAAATGAAAGATCAAAAGAAAATTTTAAAAAGAAAGACGAGTAACAAACAAGTTGATAATAATGCTAAAGAAGAAGAGGAGAACTCAGCGAAATATGTATCCGAGGCAGAATCGGTAATTTCCTTTTCATCCTAATCTAACCTAAACTATACAAATAATGTATAAAAAATTCTTTACCAGACCTTTAATGATTTCAAGAATATAATTCTATAATAAGAGAATTTATTGTTTGACAATTTTAAACATTTATATTGTTATATAAATTACATAATAAACATTAATTGACGTATAAGGGTGTATTTGTATTTGATTTAGGATTCAGGCACCGAAGATTTATTATCCATAGAGGTGAACAACAATGATGAGAGCAGTGATGAAGAAATAAATGAAAATGAGGATATTCCTGATTCAGACACAGAAAAGGACCCAATAGTCTTCCAATCTGATGATGAAGATGAAGAATTAAGCTTTGAAACAGATTCAGATGATCTTGGTTTAGATGAAGATTACTCTGAAGATGAGAGAACTTCTCTAAATGCAAGTGATGAAAGTGCAGGTGAAAGCACTGAAGATGAAAATGAAGATTCTGAAAGTGCTTCAACATCTAAGGATAATAAAACAAAGAAAAATGAATCATCTTTATCTAACATTAACGATAAAGATGTATCTAGAACTAGTAGGCAGAACAAATCAGTTCCAAAGAAATCGAATAACTCAGATCAAGTAAGTGTTTTTAAAACTGCGCAGAGAAGTAAAATAGAAGGGAAGAAAAGTTCAAAGAAAAATGTAGAGAAAGCGAAAGAAACTGAAATAAAGAAGAGTACTACCTCAAGTAATGAAAAGGAAGATAAGCCAGTAGGAAGTCAACAGGTTGATGAATATGAGTATGACAGTTCTGATGAAGAAGATATTCGTAACACAGTTGGAAACATACCGATGAAGTGGTACGATGATTACGATCACATCGGTTATAATTGGGAGGGTAAGAAAATTATAAAACCACAAACAGGTGATCAGTTAGACAATTTCTTGAAGAGGATGGAAGATCCTGATTTCTGGAGAACAATTAAAGATCCTCAGACCCAGCAGAATGTCGTGTTGAGTGAAGCCGATATAGAATTAATTACAAGAATTCATAAACAAAAGATCCCCGATGTGACCTTTGATGAATACGCTGTAAGTGTATAATTTGAACTAGAATCTATTTTCACTTAAATCTTCCAATATCTTGTAATCTAATTCGTTGTCTAAGTTTGTTCAAAGTCATTCCTTCCTTACAGCCTTGGGTGGACTGGTTCACTTCAGAAGTAATGAAGACTCCATTACGCAAATTTCCTGAACACAAGCGCTCATTTCTACCATCGAAATCAGAAGCAAAGAAAGTATCAAAGTTGGTTCACGCACTTAAAATGGGGTGGATGAAATCAACCGCTGAACTAGAAAAAGAGAAACAGGAGAAGAGGAGCCAACCGCAATTCTACATGTTGTGGCAATCGGATGATCAAGCGGAAGAGATGCGTAGAATACACAAGCATATAGCAGCGCCGAAAAGGCATTTGCCTGGACACGCCGAGAGTTATAATCCTCCACCGGAGTATCTGTTTGACAAGAGGGAGTTGAAGGAATGGAACAAATTGCAAGTAACGCCGTGGAAAAGGAAATTGCACTTCATACCGCAAAAATACAATTCGCTTCGCGAGGTCCCTGCCTATCCTAAGTACATCAAAGAGAGATTTCAGAGATGTCTGGATCTGTATTTGTGTCCTAGAGCATTGAAAATGAGATTGACGATAGAGCCTGAAGCCTTAGTTCCTCATCTACCCAGCCCAAAAGATCTCCAACCCTTCCCGACAACGATATCTATGATATTTAAAGGTCACACGGATATGGTGAGAAGCATTAGCGCAGAACCGATTGGACAGTATATCGCTTCCGGTGGTGATGATATGGACTTGAAGAGTGAGTTCATCTTTGTGTGCAAATGTAAAATATAGTGAATAATTACGTATGACAATAATTTCTTACAGTATGGGAAGTGGCGACTGGTAGATGCGTGAAGACAATATCGTGCGGCGGGGTAATTAGATCTGTTGCATGGTGTCCAAATCAATCTTTATCGCTTATAGCGGTAGCTGCAGATAAGAAAGTCTTTTTGATAAATCCTGGAGTTGGAGATCATTTGATTACCAACAAAACAGATCAGTTACTCGAAATAATACCGCAAAGCGACGTTTTAGGTATTTTAATGCTTTGTATAATTTAACTCGCTATAATATTATTAATGCACATTCTCTGTACAGTAAGCGAAAGAGTGAAAACTGCAGTTCAGTGGGAGCAAGCTGAGGGCGAGAATCGGTCGAACGGTATTAGGGTAATTTTAAATCATTTCAAAACAGTAAAACAAGTAACGTGGCACGGGAAGGGCGACTACTTTGCCACTGTGATGCCTGATGGGCAAAATAGATCCGTCTTGATAAATCAATTATCGAAACGAAGATCTCAATTACCGTTCACTAGATCGAAAGGTTTAATACAGTGCGTCCTGTTTCATCCAATTAGGCCATATTTATTCGTAGCCGTAAGTGAAAGCGAATATAAAGTCAAACATCGAATTTCAAATATATAACAATAAAAAAATTCCAGACTCAACGACACGTGAGGATATACGACTTGGTGAAGCAAGAAATGGTGAAAAAATTGTTATCAAATTCCCAATGGATTTCAACGATGGCTATACATCCTGGTAATGTACAAATTATGCACACTTCCATTATCTAGTTATATTATGTTCGATATCTATTTCTATGCTCTCAGGCGGTGACAATGTTTTGGTGGGCACCTACGATCGCAAGATGCTTTGGTTCGATCTTGACTTGAGCACGAAACCTTATCAGACGTTGCGTTTGCATGGCACGGGTGTCCGCGGCGTTGCGTTCCATAAACGGTATCCTCTGTTCGCATCCGGGGCTGACGACAGGGGCCTCATCGTTTCTCATGGAATGGTGTACAAGTAAAATGACTTACATACGCAATTATTTCACGTGCTATTATTAAGCGTGTACTATTTATTTCACAATGCATTTCAGCGACTTGTTGCAAAATCCATTAATCGTACCACTCAAGAGATTGTGCGATCACGAGTCTTACAACGACTTTGGCATATTGGATGTGATGTTTCATCCCATTCAACCCTGGGTATTCTCTGCGGGCGCTGATTCGACGATACGAATGTACACTTGAACCGTACGCGCATTTATTGGTACAATTAACAAGTATCTCTTAATGCGTTTCTTAACGCAACAATTTTTTTTTTATCGTGTGTAAATCATTGTACAAAGTTTTAGTGGACAATTTTTTACGCGACTATCGTGAAAGTTGAAATAAAGATATTTTGCGTAATGTAACTCTTTGCGGATGTTTACAAATACTAAACGTATAGGAACTTTTACATCGCAAGCAATCATGCGATAATCACGATAAGAAAATTATAAATATTTCATGGAAAGATAATAAAAAATGTTATCTATTTTCACAAAATCCACAGGGTATTTGCTAAAAGTTGAACTAATTTCTATTCACATGAAATGAGTTTAAAGAATTATACGAGTACAGATTATTCCTGTTAATAGAGTTATTAATATACATAAAATAAAAATGCAAATAAGATATAAAACATATAATGAAATAAAATTCTATAAAGTCGGATGTTTGTATGAAGTAAAAAAAGTTTGTAAATTTTTCTTGACCATATATTAGTTGAGACTATATTGCACTTGATAGGGTAGCAGATTCAATTGTAAATTGTAAATTGCAAAGGAATTTAATACTTACAAGTTACGAGATATTGTATATTCTATATCATCGATATTAAATGAACAGTAAATATCCCATAATCTGTAGATAAAATTTCAAATAGTATTTTCCAAAATTTCATGACAATGGAAGATTTCTATGAACGTATAAATTAAGTTTATCAGTAATGTCAATTGAAAAATATAATGCAACATACACGTGTACACACAATAGAATGTTTAAGGTGGAGGTGGTGAGTGACCTAGACACTGCCACTCCGGTTCACCACATTCGCAAATGCGGCCGGCGTGTCTGACTTGAAACACTGTGACCATGCCATTGTTATCATCAAATCTACAGGTGATATGTAGATCGTGTATTAAGAAAGTATAAAATTGACTACCCCAACGTTGCCGCAGATACACCGATCTAGGATCTTCGCGAAGCACATGCTCAATTGCTACCTTCTGGTCGTTTATCTTAGTCTCTAGAATTTCGTTTAACTGAATCCGAGCGCGTTCATTGAATTCCACACAGAGAGGCGTTCGAGGTCTTGATATCCAGTCCGGGATCCTCACTTCTGTGGAAGCGTTTACTTCCGTCTCTCTGTTCTCCACGTTCCTCGGCTCGGGAGTAAACACGGGACCAGTATCCCCCGTGCTATCAGGGAAGCTGTTGTTCGACGTAGTTCTTATCACTTGATTCGGTAAAGCCTGTGAGGGAGTAAGTATCTGCGGTTCCAATCCCTCCTCCCCATCGGGAGCTTCTCGCACGCCCATTCTAATTGGAGAATTGTCTACCCTCGAGCTCAACGATCTTCTATGAATTAAATCTATATCGGTACCGCATACGGTATTTGGTCCATCGGCTCCGTCGAGCAATCTGGAGCGAGAAGCATGGGTTTCCGTGTAATTGGAACTCACGTTTCTTGATCCATACGTCGCTTCAACGTTGCTGCGAGTTACGCTAATGTTTTGTAATCTATGGTTAATATCTGATAAACTTTCGGGTTGCCGTTCTAAATGAGACGCCGGCAGTACGTTGTGCCCTGTCGTAGTTACCGTGAGATTCGATCTCGTCTCAACCGAAGTATCGGAAAATATATGAGGCGCTCTGTGCACATTCGATACATCTACGTTGTGCTGTGACGCGTTATTGTGCGAGTTAACATCGTTCAGTTCAGGGAAATGTCTGATACCGGCGAAGCTGTCAAAGTTGGAATTCCTTTGGAACTCTTCGGCTTGAAGCCTGAGAGCGATTTCTTCGTCTCTAGAGACGTCCGTCTCTTGACTCGTCTTGCTGCTTGTTTTCTTGTAATAAGATTCTGTAAGCAGACTCCTCGACTCATCTCCGCTGACGTTCCCACTAAATGTTTGATTCCTGCCAGTTTCTTCGATACACTCGAACGCGACGTCTAAATTCGACTCTTGCGATCTGTCTCGCAGTTTCTCGAAAAACAATGGGCTGTCGTACTTCGGTATATATGGTTTTATATCTAGCACAGGTGTCTGATCGACCATGTCCACGCCTTCGAAGTAAATCGTGTGATTCTCTATGCTCGTGATCTTGACTAAACTCAAACCGATTGGACACGGACGATGTGGGGAACGGGTGGAAAATACCCCGGTCTTCGTACCGTTTAATCTGGGTGGTGCAACTTTCGCGCGGACGTGTGTAGAATCGTTTCTATGAAAATAGAACAGGACCCTGTTGAAAATTAATTGTTTGTTAATTATATATAAATCAGTAGATTTAGCACGTATAGCATCTTTTATCAATCTTCTTACCACATATGTGAAAAATCTTGTAATCCTTCAAGTGCATGATCAGGATTAGTAAGTACAGAATTATATAGCAGTAACTTTCCTGGCATCTCGCCACATACTCCTGTCTGCCTAGGTGTGCCTCGCTTACTTGAAAACCAAGTAGATATCACACCAATAGATTTTAATTTTATAGTATCGTCATCTGTACTTGTGCTAGGTTTCACATCATCTGGACCTTTAACTTTTGCTACAGATGATCCATTTTTATATGATTCTAGAAGTTGCTTTATAGCATCCACATCCTTCTTATAGATGTGTCTAAGTCTTATTATCTGCTGCCTGTAACAATTAAAAGGCCCAATGGTCGATATTTAAATGTAATACTCCGCCATGGAAAAAATAAATAATTAAAATATTACATTTATATATTCGATACAAATCGTTATACGCATACGTGCAAGCATATATGTGGCTGTACGCGTCAAATTTACAGCTATGCACAAAACAGCATGTTTGAATAAAACTTGTTGATATCTTTTCGCATACTATCGGTTTTTGAATTCGCGAGGACAGAACATAACGGAAAAACAGAAACGATACCTCAAATTGTTTATCTCCCTCCTGGCGATGTTCAACTGACTGACTAAGTATTTTGTGTTTAAGTCGAAATTTTGACATGCAGGGTCCATTACTTCGAGCGTTATCACCGGTCAAGTCCGTCAAGTGGAAGCGAGTGAATGATGCATGAGGATATGAGATATGAGAGTTCTTCTGCCGGGATTTCGTGATTCCCGTACAAGTGCTGCACCAAAAGGCCAACTCTCGAAAGGATTCCTCCGTAGCATATACAAAAACCTATATTTAGTAGGAATCTATCCTGTTTTCATCACCGAGACGAGAATATACTGAGCATGTCTCATGCTTCATGTATACATGGTTCATGCTTCGTGTATTGTTTGCATGGTCATGTGAGCATGCGCTTATCTATCTACCTACAGGGTGTCCCAAAACTAGTGTAAGGAATTTTAATGGGAGGTTCCTGACATGCTTTTAAACAACATTTTCCTTTGCGAAAAACTTGTCCGAGACGTGGTTGAGGAGTTATTAACAAAAACACCGACCAATCAGAGCGCTCGGTTCGCGCGCGCTCCGGCTCGGGAGCGTTGGCTCCGATCCGGCCGGCCGGCCTTTCACGCGTTCGAACAAGCGCTTCGCTCAGTACGAAGCGTTTAACAAACTACATGAATAACAATGCAAGGAAATTGTTGTTCGTGCATTATTATGAATAACAATTAATACACTTAATCGTTATTCACATTCAATGGATGGAGAAATGATAGATTGTTGATAATTGATGGATGATGATAGGATAAACGATAAAAATGACAGTGTAAGTGTTTGAAAATTTTGAAAAGTGAAAAGTGACAGTGGTTTTATTAAGTTGAGTTTGTGTATAAAAATCAATCGGCTGCTTTCAAAAACGTGTATTGATAGGACGTAGGAGCAACAATCTTAGTGTGTTAAAATTTTTAAGAGTGACAATGATCGATTTTTTAAAACAGTAATTAGCCGTTTCCTCAGATCTGGGCTTGTGAACGGCAGGTCTAAAAGACAACGCATTTCTACAATAACAATGTCCTTTGGGCTTGCCGTTCGCAATTCAAATCGTACGTATCTATTTCTTAAGTGGCTTAATCGCTTTGACCCGTACTTTTGGTTCTCGATCTCCCAAGTTTCGACAAAATTTGACTGGGACCCCTCGAAGTCCGGCTTTTACATGCTGATAGTACATGCTGTAAGCTTGATTTTCGGCTCTGGTACATCCGGCAAATTATCACGGCTGGCTTGAAAAACCTTGCGTCGGATCGCATTGCACGTTCTGTGGAAATTTACGATTATGGAACCCGTTTACAGGTCACATCATGCCCGATACTTCACGTACAACAGAATCACATTGTTATCGCAAAATCGTTTGTTACCTTGCTATAACATATTGTTACTGATCTGATTAGAAACGAAAATACTCAGCAGTTAGGTGTCCGTGTACGCTCACTAAGTAAATACACATAGTAGAGCGATAATACGATTAGGTGAGTACTTCACGTAAATCCCCTACTACAACTGCCAACAATCTATATAAACCGCGTCCGGGTTCGAAGCGTTACTGTCAAAACTTAAGCCTTACGAAGTCACGCTGCAAACTCCGCGTTCGATAATAATTCGAGGAAAAATGAATGCTAAAATCGTTGCGTTGCTCTTATTAACAGTTTGTTACGCAGTCATGATGCATCAAGTATCAGCAGCTATCGGACCACGTATGTAATTCTTTTATTTATCAGTGAGTCATAAATAAATTGGAGTTTTGTGTAGAATAAAACATCTATCATATCTATTTACAAAATTTGATTTGGATTGAAATTTCGTTCGTCATTTAAGCATTTAATTTTTGAGTTTCTGAATACTTTTATACATTACATCATTTGTTATTTACGCATATTTAATGTTTTTCTAAATCCATCAAGTCCAAAGTTTATTTGTGATAAACACATTTCTGTTTTACTAGAAAATATTGTACTATTGTTAATATTGAATTAGTTGAAACATTTTGAATAACTTTGTACACTCGGTTTATAGTTGAAATATAATTATTAAAAAAATGTATGAAAACAATTCAGAACAAACTAATCAGAGAGCTCGGAATGTATGAATCTCGTTAATCGTTTTTGTCAACATAGAAAAGCACAGTCGAAAATTGTAATGTATTTGATTTTTATTCAGTAGATTTTAAATAGACTTTTAAAATAAAATATTTTATGCGAAGGTCTTAAATAAAATATTCTGAGATATTACTTTTAATTATAGTACATCATATATTGAAATTAAACTATTAAACTATGAATTTTGCTTTCCTTTGTTCTCAACGACAAGTCTACAATCGGATTAATAATACAATAAAATCACACTTATGATAATTAAATTGTGCAATTACTTAACAAGGTGTTAAACAACGTGTAAAAGTAATTGATGAGTTATTCGAATCAAATACACGTTGTACGTGTATTCTACAGAATCTGTTACGTTTAAAGAAAATGATACTGGATAAGCAGCAACCTAATATTATATTGATTAATCGTTATCTTTGATAGTAATGCGTATCTATCAGTGACCCTCGCCTAGATCTGTTTGCGAAAAGTAATTTCGAAACAGATAATCTTCAGCTTGACTCAGCTTCCAAAGATTTCGTACTTCGATTTTTCTACGTATTATTATTTTATGCAAGTTAATATTATTCTGTAGCCCCGAGTATACTTCGAACTTCAATTATTTGCACAGTGGTCTGACCAGCGAGTTCAAATGTCTATGCTACGTCAATAAATGTTTATACAATTGTTCAAGCCATTTACTCAATTGATATTCAAGAATTTTGCTGCTCTTTCCATTTGTTAACATTTAGGCTTTAGATCTTATAATGCATATTTTTTTGTTGACAGAGTGTCTTTTGCCACTGGAACGTGGTCCATGTAGAGCGTTTATACCAAAGTACGGGTACAATCCGGAAACGAATAAATGCGAGCTATTTGAATACGGAGGTTGTCAAGGAAACGAGAACAATTTCCAGACCCTTGACAGTTGCAAGCAAGTTTGTTTTTGATCATTGAGAAACGTATGAACATAACGACTGTTTTTTATGGAAAATTGTAATACATGATAAATGTACATAAATTATGTACAAAAGTTTGTAGATGATTTAAATTAAGATTGTACATACGAAATGGAATAAATTTAAATGTCCAATTTGTGTAAATAATATTAAAAACAAATTTCTGTTTAGATACAACAAATTGTACTTCATAATAAATTTTATTTAAATATAACTTTCTGAGT